TCGAGGCCTGCTTGGGATACAGAGTGAACTTAAGGCCATCCTGGGCAACTTAGTTAGACACTGTCTCAAATAAGAAGAGAGCTGGGCGTCTACTCAGTGTTAGAATGGTTGACTAGCCTGCACAAGGCCTTGGTTTCTATCAATACTCAAATATATACATATATATACACATATACATTATATATATATATATATATATATACACATAGAGAGAGAGAGACATTTATGCATAAAGCAAAGGCAGAGAGGCTGCTCGCAGTTAGGTGGAAGCCCTCAGAGCTGGAGAACTAGACCATCTATCTCATGCCCTACAGTTACGCTCAGGTTTATTTCAAACTAGACTCTCACCCCTCACAGTACTGCTCTGCTTCGGAATGGTTTGTTAGGGGTGTGACGGTGCATTTGGACAGCATCATGTTATGGGAGGCTCAGCCGGATGCTTGAAACCCCATGCGGCACCCAGGCCTGTGTGTTTCTGATCAGCTCCTTAAAGCTTCGGTGCCTGCCACATGCTCTCTGCCAGTGTCAGAGGGGGCCCGCTGCCTGTCAGGGATCCTCACCAGGCTCAACAACCTCAGCAGATATGCTCTAAACAGCCATGCTCTTGAAGATCCAGAGAGTCACAGCCCCCAGCTTCCTACCTCAGTAGGTTTGCTCCTCTTATGGTTTCCATGGTGATAGAGATGAAGACCTGATTGGGAAGTAGATGGGCAGGACCTGGTGTGCATCACAAATCCACAAAGCCGATCAGCCTTCCTTTGGCACATTGAGTTTTTGTCCCTGAGGGCAGTGCTTACTCTGATGTTACTGCCACCTGGCAGGTCCTCTGTGGTGCTCCCACTCTGGATGTCACTGCCTAGCAGTGCTACACTGTGAGTCACACTTTGCTGAGCGTGAGCTGTGTGTCTTCCAGGAAAGGACTCTGTCTTTGTTTCTTTTCCTGTGGCTGTGATAAAATGTTCTGACCAAGGCAACTTAAAGAAAGGGTTTATTCTGGCTTACGGTTCCTTTAGTGAACTTCTTCATGGTGGGATCAGGAATAATAGCTGTGGGAGAAGCATGATGGCAGGAGCAGGAAGCTGGCAGGTCACACAACACCCACATTCAAGAAGCAGAGAGTGAACAGGAAGTGGGGCCAGACTATGAAGCCTCAAGGCCCACCCCCAGTGACCTATTTCCTCTAGCAAGGATCCATCTTCTAAGGGCTCCACAACCTTGCCAAACTGAGCCACCAGCAGGGGACTGAGTATTCAAACACATGAGTCTGTGGGGGACATGTCCCCAACTACAACCTGTAATGCAGTTCTAACCAATGCATAGCCAACAATCTCGCATATTCGTTTTGTAATAGTTGTTATGAGAGTTCCAACGGGTGGCCAGGTTTCCAGGAAAACCACCAGCAATTACTCCCTAGAGCTTAGATGACAATGCCCTGCCCTGCTAAGACCTCTAAATAGGCCTGAGATTGCTTCAGCTGCAGAGTTCCTGGGTATCTCCTAAGCCTCCTGATACTTGTTATATAGGGCACTTGTTTGCTTTCCCAGAAGATCTATGGATGTCTGCAAATATGACATTACACGCCTTCTTATCACCCAGTGCATGACAAACACCAGCAATGGCCATACTCTTGGCCAAGTCTTCCCCGTTGCCCAGGGGATGGAATTCTGCCTTCCCTGTCTCGCCTGGCCAAACACATTATGCTTTCCTATTTAATTATGGCTTGGATGGCTTCAGGACCATTGGAGACACTGTGGATGTGGGGAGATGAGCCAGAGCAGAGCCCAGGCAGGTTCTGTGAGGTCCCCGCTTCTGCTCTGGCCAGGACTTTGCACATGCAGCACCGAGTTAGTCTGACTTGACTCTTTAGGGGGCTCTTAGTGTGGAGACCAGAGCCTGGCAGGAAATTTCCACAGTGGGGCCTCAGTGCCCTGGGGTCACTGCCCTGCCTAACTGCACATTTTAACCAGCCTTCTGCTTCTGCCAGGCATGGACACCTCCTTATTCCTCCAAGGCCACCATCCACTCTCCCTTCCACTTTAAGGAACCTATCCTGTTCCTTTCAAAGGCCTTAGATGGCCTCAATCACCCCCCTAAAGTACTTGGGTGTATGGCCAGACCTTGTCAGGACAGCTCATATGTGAGCACCTGTCTAATGCCTCTTCCCCACAGTGCCAGCACTGAAGTCAGAGAGCCTCTCCGTTTTGTTGACTGTGAATGCCCAGTTGGCAGGTACTCAACACATGTCTTGTGCTGGCAAGTACTCAACACATGCCCCTTGAGCACTGTCAGCATTCAAGGTCGTGTTGTGGTGCCTGGAAGTACTAGAGAATCATTTGAGTTGGCAGCCTGAGGCCCTGCCCACATCTGTCTCCAAGTGACCCTGGGGAGAGCTAGAAACAATGGCAGCTCTCAGGATGGGCTGCCAGGCTCCTTCACAGATGTCCTTCACTAAGCAAGAGTTGTAATTCCAGGGGGGCAGCATTCTCCTCCCCCCTCAGCCCTGACTCTGCTGGAACTTCTATGGATGGCCTACAGCTGACTTTGGGGGAGAACACTCAGTCTCTGGCTTGTAGGTGGGCAAGGTGTAACAGCAGATGGCAGACCCCATAGCCTGTCAACAAGAGGACACATCCCCAACTCCAAACCTACATCCCACACATGCCTTCCAGCTCTTTCCTTGGTGAGTTACTCTTAGGCATGAGATCCATGGGGGTAGAAGGCTGCCTTTGAAACCTGGTGCTCTCTCTTTGTGAAGTTTAAAAACCCCAGGGCCCTAGTCCAAGCATCCATCTTTGAAGATGTCAAGTTACCTTGGAGACACAAGGAAACTCATCTTTCAGTCTCATGGCCTCATTGCAAGGTTCACTACTCTGTAAACAGGAAGCACAAACTGTTTCTGGCTTGGTGGAGGGAGACTCTAGGTGCTGTGCAGATCCAAGATCCCAGAGCAAGTAGGCGTGGCCACACAGGTAGGTAGATCAGCACGAGGCCTGCAGCCACCAACCAAGCTACCCAGATCAAGACTGGTCCTAAGTCCTGAGAATCACTTCCTTACTCCCCCATCAGCTAAGTGAGGATAGGCAGGGTGCAAGGTACAAATTTGCCCAAGGTCATCTTAGGAAACCTGATCCTGTCTCTGTGGCCTCTGCATTTAGTGACTTCTGCTTACTTGAGGCTACATACCCCATGACATGAAGTTATCACATTTAGAGCCATGGACAGCTCCCAGTACCACACTACATTTCTGCCAAGATCCCAACAGTTTGCTTGGCCCGTAGTCATGTAGCTCTGTTGTGTCTGTCTGTCCCTTGTTAGGTACCTGGAAGGGAGGAAATGCTGAGAGAGATGAAGGCCTACTGAACCCAACAACTCTGACATTCCCTCCAATTTAGTTGTCTACAAGTGCCAAATGGTACAAGAAACTGGTTGGTTCAGTGCAGCCCGGATGCTGGAGTCCAAAAGAAAGATACTGGCAGAGTTGCTTCCTCCCAGAGGCAGGGGACTCTGCCACACCTCTCTCCTGGTTTCTGGTAGCTGCTGATCATCATCTTTGCAATTCCTTCGTTTGTAGACACATGACTCTGCTCTTGGCTCCCACTGTCACACGGCCTTACTTCCCTGGGTGTCCTGTTCTGTGTTGTTAGACACACCAGTCATTGGGTTTTTCACCCACCATAATCAAAGGTCACCTGTTCTTAGAATCCTTTCTTTAACATGCAAAGACCCTTACTCTAAATGAGGTAGGTCTTGTTCACAGGTCCAGGGGCTAGAGCATGGACTGATCTTTTGAGAGGGATGCAATTCAATCCATTATGCTTCCAGATACCTCTGAACAGAAGGAACAGACTGGTGTTTAGGGGATTTGCGGACAACAGTGACCTCTAAGGATTGAAATTTCCTTGCCTCCCAGAACCTTAACCCAGAGAGCTCAGCATGCACGGACACTTGGGAGGCACAGCCTCGAGCTGGAGCATCACTCAACCCATACCCTGCATAAAGGGGCCCTTGAAGTCTTGAGACCCCAGATGCAGAGCCTTTGGGGCAGGGCATGCTATGCACTGTCATTCCTGGTCATCCTACTCTCTTGACTGCCCCTAGAAGTTAATGTTCGTCTCCTCAGATGCCACCTTTAAATGAATTTTGCAGTTGTAAAGAAGAGTTCCTGGAAAGAAGTTATGTCTACCAAAGCTGACTGATTAAAACTTCAGTATCTGTGGTGAGCTTGGAGTGTTACAGGTCCAGAGCCTAATTATCGTTTCTCTTGGGCTATTTTTAGCCTAGCTAAAGAGGCTTCCCTTGCCCACCTCAGTGTCAGACCTAACATCCTTATAACCAGATTAAAAAAAAAAACAAAACACAGAAAAACAAAAGCCCACCGTTGGGGTGCCTTAGCTTAACAAAACCCCCATTTTCCACCCATCCAAGGATTCAGTGTTCTATCAGGGAGCTCAGGGCTGACAGCTGAGATTTTTCCACTCTGCTGCAATACCCTACTTAATGTTTCCACCAATGGATTTGCAAAGTGTCTGGATTTATGACTCTTCTTTGTTCTATTACTGTAAAAAAAACTTCATGAAACTGCTTCCACATTGGAACACTGGAGGAGACCTAAACCTGTGTCCCAGTCCATGGCCACCTAAATTGGACTCCAGAATACTTTGTCTGGATTTTGGTTTTCCACACACTAATGATTAATTCGGCTTTTAAAGATAAAGCTAGACCTCTGTCCGACACTGTCTTCTCCCAGGTTGATCTAGAATAATACTCAGAAGGGGCTCTTGAAAGGCCCTGGGACCGGTTTCTTGGGCCACCAACCTCCCTCCAATAGGTCATAACAATATGATTAATAGCCAAGGAAGTGAAGCATGATGGAAGACTGGGAAAGGTAACAGCTTTGACACCGAGGGTACACATGGCTGCCGGTGTCCGCTGACCTGCTTTCTCCTTCTTAGACAGAACCTTCCTTCTGCTCACTCATGTATCCTCTTGTCTCTTTTCAGGACTCCTCTTCAACTGGACCTATCCCCACAGCCATCCCACGAGGTGCCACGGTGGCTGGAGAACAGGGCATGTCTCCCAAAGTCCAGCTGCCCCTCAACGTGTGAGCTGCCCCGCCCCTCATGTCTGTCGACATTCCCACACACTGGCACTTAGTGGTGTCTAGTGGGTTTATCAGTTAGTTACTAGCTGTCTCGTGTAGTTACATACATGTGCTAATGCCACCCAAAATGAAAGGGTGAGAACCGAATCCAGACAGGTCTTTTAACACCACTGTCCCTAGGATGGTTCGGAGAAGTGGGGGGAAATTAATAATCTTTGACAGGTCTCAGAGGTCCCTGAGATCTGGGGTGACTTGAGGAAAGAAGGGTGCAGTGAGGCCAGCAGGCATCTTTGGAAGTGTGGGCAACAGCTTGGTACTGCCTGCTCAGAAGTGCCACCCACCACCAGGCCGGCCAGCTGCATGCCAACCCCAAATGTAATCACATGAATCACTGCCAGGAAATGAGGTGTTTATCTTGTTGAGAAAATTTTCTCTGGTAAATTACAGCATTTAAAAGATACATGAAATTCTCAAACTCCTGTTTAAATAGCCTTCCCAGGAATTAGTTGGCTTCTGTATGTGCAGTGAGATCAGCCTCTTGAATGGATGCTTTCAGGTGGAGTGGATGGATGTGGCAGACATATGGACAGAAAGTTACATCAGTCTAGGCGAGCCAGCGGGGCGGCTGGAATCTGTATGGTGCAGAATGTAATGCATTGTGGAGAGGCTTCCTAAAAATCACCTTAGCCACCCGGGTGGATTCCTTGCCCTTTTGGCCAAGTCCAGATGTTAGACTCCAGCATGGATAAGAAAGTCCTGAACACCTTCTTATTAACTTGCCCACCTTCATGCTTACCCAACTTAATAAAAGAAATCTGAAATGTATCCACTTTTCTCCTGGCTTCCCAAGGGAACCAGATTAATAAGCTAGATCCCAGATTAGCCTTCAGGTTAAAATTCACGTTCTCAGCAGGACCAGACATCAGGTACAGTTACCCTGCCATTTGTAAGTTCAACTATCCTTTAATTCAACTACTCACGGATAGAAAATAGTCAACAAGAAATTCCAGAAAGTTCCTCAAAGCCAAACTTGGATTTTTTTTCATGCCACATGTATAAAGTGATATGCAGATTTGATTTAGTATAATGCCACTGAGAGAGGAGTTAAGGGATTCAGAAGAATGGCAAACGTTATATGCAAGGGTTGGGCTGTTCTTCACTTGGGATATGAGCATCTGTGGATTTGGGGATCCTGGAATCCTGTGGATGCTGACCATGTCTGACCATGTTCCTGGTCTGCCCCTATGGTTTCATTATGAGCCAGAGGCCACAAAAAGTGAGTGGGAAGGCTGGAGTGAAGAGCTGATGCAGGGCACCTCCCCCCACCCCAAGGAGGAGGCCCATGTCTACAGGAGATGGCTCTGGTGCAGTTCCCCAAATGAGAGGCAGGGCACAAGCTAACGTGATGAGCCTAGCTTCATTTTGTGTCCTCACAGCCAGCTGAAAGCCTACACTCAGGTCCTCAACAACTACCCACATTTCCTTGAACATCAAGACATCCTGTTCCTGGGAATGGAGGGCTCCAGTTCTTATGTGTCAGACCAGCTACCTGAGAAGACGCCTGTGTCTTTGAGGCCCAGGAGTTGGGAGTCATCCAGCTACATTCTTGGGGGTCTCAGTTGTGGACACTAAACACAAAGGGCCCTCTCCTTTATAGCCCCCTCTACCACAGAGACAAGGTCTCTAGGACCTGCAACATGGCCTTTCTCCACTCCCTACCTCACCCCCAGGTCATGTTGCCACTATTTAACTTGAGGGAGACATACTTATCAGATATACCTGGAAGTAACAAAGACTTGGGTAGGGGTGAGTCAGCAGGTAACACAGTGATAGTCTTGGGTAGGGGTGAATTAGCAGATCACATGGTGATTGTCTTGGGTAGGGGTGAGTCAGCAGGTAACACTGTGATGGCCTTGAGTAGGGGTGAATCAGCAGGTAACATGGTGATGGTCTGGGTAGGGGTGAGTTAGCAGGTAACACAGTGATGTCTGAGCAGTAGATGAATGGAGACCCTCTAAGAGGCCAGAGAAGGGCTGGAGAGATGGCTCAGTGGTTAAGAGCACTGGCTGCTCTTCTGGAGGACCTGAGTTTAATTCCCAGCAACCACATGGTGGCTCACAACCATCTGTAATGAGATCTGGCGCCCTCTTCTGGTGTGCAGTCATACATGCGGACAGAGCACTGTATACAGAATAAATAAATCTTTAAGAGGCCAGAGAAAACTTAAGAGTTTGTATCCGTGGCTGCCTACTGAGCATCTAAGACATGCTTTGAAATCCCACACATGTTACAGCGACATACATGGTCCAATTTGAAAACCTGATGGCTAAAATTCTATTTTTTACGTTACTGATGAATTAATAGAGCAGGTGTATAGCCCGCCGCCAGTCCGTACTCCCTGGAACACCTTGATTGACAGCTCTTCCTGTAACAGCAGCTGTAAGTCATGTTGAAAATCCTAGATGTGAACATGAGATAATTTACATTTACAAAAACAACTGCAGCAGCAGAATGCCAAGTGTGCTTGGGATTTTATGGCCTTGGCACTCCAGACATGCCCAGAGGAAGGTAGTGTGTGGATCTACGATGAAATAGCTCCATTATACACTGTTGCATTCACTCTTCCTAAGGAGATATGAATAAGCATTCCTACTCTAGATAGGGCAACCAACAGACCAAAGGAACAATCTCACCCAAATCTGGATTAGTGAATGAATCATTTATTGGGCTTATAGGAGAGGGGTGTGGATTGTCCCCAAAGAACTGTACCATCAAAAAGTTTTATCCCAGCCGGGCGGTGGTGGCACACGCCTTTAATCCCAGCACTCGGGAGGCAGAGCCAGGCGGATCTCTGTGAGTTCAAGGCCAGCCTGGTCTCCAAAGCGAGTTCCAGGAAAGGCGCAAAGCTACACAGAGAAACCCTGTCTCGAAAAACCAAAAAAAAAAAAAAAAGTTTTATCCCAGTAAGAACGATGACCTCCCAAAAGCTGCTTCAGTGGGCCTCTCTTTCAGTTAACTTTCTACTTCCTATATACTCTGGCATATTAGTTCTTAACCTGTGGGTCATGACCCCCTTAGGGATCAAATAACCCTTTCACAGGAGTTGCCATCAGATATCCTGTATATCAGATATTTACATTACAATTCATAACAGTAGCAAAGTTACAGTTATGAAGTAGCAACAAAATAATGTTATGGTTGGGGATCACCTCCACATGAGGAACTATATTAAAGGGTCACAGCGTTAGGAAGGTTGAGAACCACAGATCTAGCACCTGCTCACACCACATGCCTCTGATGCAGAATTACATGCAGCTAAAGGGTACAGGAGGGAGGGAGTGGCTGGACCTTAGGTGAGGATCTAATGACCTTCTCACCCCCTCCTTCTTTAAGGGACTGTGTCTTAGTTAGGGTTTCTATTGCTGTGAAGAGACACCATGACCATAGCAACTCATAAGGAAAACATTTCATTGGGGTGGCTCACTTACAGTTTCAGAGGTTCAGTCCATTATCATCATGGCGGGAAACATGGCAGCATGTAGGCAGACGTAGTGCTGTCTACATTTGATCAGAAGGCAACAGGAAGTGGACTATGACACTGGGCAGTATCTTGAGCATATATGAGACCTCAAAGCCCACCCCCACAGTGACACACTTCCTTCAACAAGTCCACACCTCCCAGTAGTGCCACTCTCTAGGAGCTTATGGGGGCCAACCACAGACTGTCAACAGGCTTTGTTTTACAGAGGTTTCCTGCAGGTGACCAGCTGCTGTGATTAAGATGATAATGGTCATGTCATGCCTGAAGGACAGTGTTTCACAACAGACTGTCATCCAAAGGTCAGGCCAGTGACTGGTCACAGGCCTTTGCCTTTATAGAAAAGGTCCACCTCAGGTTCCTCGGGATCTGGTACAAGAAGGCTCTCAGTTTGCACACACAGCGCATGCAGGTGTAGCTCCTCCAAGACAGTGACTCACCCCTGCGCCTTCCCTCTTCTTTCTGCTATTCTGTAATTCTAACTCTTGAGTTTAAACGCCTTTCATTTGGCTAATCTGCTAGCCATGATTCCAGAGGCACTGGAGGCCATGCCTCAGGCCAGAGCCAAGCCCTCTTAAAGGTCCAAAAAGTGATGGGAACACAGGTAAAATGGAGTACCCCGAGATGCAAGAGAAGTGGATTCTTGCCTCAATTTCCCCACATCTCAAGCCAAATGTGAAGGAGGCAGAGAGCGCACACGGGGATCAATGAGTGGCCAAGCAGCACTGACTTGGAGGAGGCTGGGAAAAGACAACCGGACCACTGAGACCTCCCATCCAGAAACCCAGTGTGAGACGTCTCATTTGAGCAGTGCTGCAGGCCATGGACTGGAGAAGACAGCACAGGATAGGCCTCGGATTCATAAACCAATCCGTGATGTGCTTCATCGGGTGCGGGGTGTCTGCCTCCCAGCACCAGCTTGCCAGCCCATGCAGAGGACAGGCCTGACTCCTAGGAGAGGACATTCGTATGGAGCAAAGAACTTGGTCAGTCAGTGGGGTACCGTTACCACTTATCAGGAAAGCCACATGCTTCCTACCAAAGGTGGCTCCCCAGATGCCACCTGGGTGACATCAAGGAATCCAGAAAAGGACAGGAAGAAGAGAGCCTGTCACTTGGACCGGGAAACGGAACCTTGGGGGAACAGAAGCTGGTAGTTCTGGATGGATGCTGGGTCACTGAATCAAGTGGTTAGCACTGGTCACATGAGATGTGTTTTGCATGGCAGTGAGAATCACTTGTAGGCTAACACTCCCCATGACCCTAGCACCATTCATTCTGATGGCCAAAGGCCACTAATCCACCGTGAAGAACGATGTGAGTCCCATGTTCTAGGATACTGAGAAAGACTGAAGCCATGCCCAGTTCAGGAAAAATGTTATCATGTATCACAGACTCATCAAGCAGCCAGCTCTGCACCTACAGCAGGATGCCATTATAGTCACAGGACCTACTAATATCA